GAGGGACTGGAATGATCTGAGAGGAAGGAAGGAAGGATGACGATCTGAGAGGAAGGAAGGAAGAAATGCAGTCAAATCCACGTTGCAGAGCTTAGCTGTTTAATCAGCGAACAGTGAGTTACAAAAATGGGTTTTTTTTCTGGTGATTTGGTTTAGTAGTTAGTTGTGTTGTGTATTGCCAACTCAGATATGAGCTGGCTGCCCCAAATTAAACCGTCTCAGTAGTGTTTCGCAATTAAAAATCGGTTTTCGGAATATATACGAGAATTTTTGAATTTTAGTAAATACTAGAGTCGTTGTATTGAGTATTATAATAGCTTCATCCCTAGTTCGCTTTATATTGAATATTTTTACGCGTTTAATCGATACCCTCCTTCAAATTTACTTGCGTTAGAGATTCGGGAAAGATATCAATTCGCGGTTTATTCTTTTGCTTTATATACATCGCGTTTATTTCATATCTCTTTTCTTTTTTTTACGTTTATTCTATTTAAAGTTAACTTCATTCTAAAAATCGAGAATAATATAATATCGCGGTTTCCCCTCTTAAATAAATCGCGTTTCGAAATACTTTTCGCGTCGTCCATTCCACAGTGACTCTCATTTTGTGAGTCTGTGAGGCTTGGGAAATCAACGACGAGGAACTGGAATGATTTGCGGAAGGATGGCGATCTGAGAGGATGGAAGGAAGGAAGGAAGGAAGGAAGGAGGCAATGCAGCCAGGCAGCCAAATCTACGTTGCAGAGCCCAACTGCTTAATCTACGAACTGTGAGTGAATTTTTTGAGGGTTTGGTGGTTGGTTATATATGTGTGCATGTGCATGTCGAAGCTGAACTACCAAGAGGTCGAAGAAGAACTGGATGGACTCTACTGCACTAATGGTGCAAACGCCCTCCCATTATTATAGTATCAAAGTAGTATACCGCGTTAATTCAATTTAGAGACAATTTTCCCATTTACTTTCGATCGATACGAGAATTTATCACGTCGCGTCGCGTTTGATAAATAGCTTCGTCCCCTTTTCTATTTTTGCGTTTCTTTTCTCTTTTCTTTTTTGAATTTTTGCTAAATGTCCCAACTAATATCAACTACAGGAAAATATGGAGGATAATAAAAATTCGCGGTTTCGGGTACTAAACAAAATCCCTGAAAATGAAAATAAATCGTGATTCGTTCTCCACTTTTCGCGCGTCACCCTTTCACAGCTTTCCAAGTCTGGTGGGTCTTGGGCATTGGCTTTGGGTCTTTCAATCTATCATTGTGGGCCACTGGTGGGATGAAAATACAAGGCTGAGGGGAATTGCAAAAGTTTCATGGGTCTGAGAGAAGCTTCCATGTGAATTGTGGGTCAAAATCGAAGGCTAGGAGGACTGAAATGGGTCACTATGTGTATCTCAAAGATTACGAATGGTGAGTCGTATGAATTATTTATCTTGTCAATCTAATTTATATTCTGTTTCAGTGTCCCAGCGAAATTTTGTTAAATTGTAATAAATTCGCGGTTTTCCTTACTAAATAAAATGAAAAATAAATTGCCTGGCGTTCTTGATCGTAGAGATCAGTTCTCAAAGCCTATTGTTGCCAATTCTGACGAGATAAAAAGTACCGAGAGTACTGATAAGGTTCAGGATAGGAATAAAATGTATTTAACAATGTCCACCTGTGTGGTCTGCGTTTAGGGAGTTGTAAGTTTTTTCGATGATCGATTTAGGTAAATATTTCGAGCTCAACCAAGAGTTCAATTTTCTCCTGTTCGAAAAAGAATTTTGCCTTGAGTTGAGGTATGAGTTTCATTATCAGAGGTTTAATTAGGTATTCCATTGCTACGATTTCATATAAGAAAGATATCCTAACAATTTATCCTCCTATTCCAATTTAATAATATACTTTTCTTACAGAACTTCGATACTATAATTTTAAATATGAAAATAAAATATAAACAATAATGATATCCTAACAATTTATCCTCCTATTGCAATTTAATAATATACTTTTCTTACAGAATTTCAATACTATGATTTTAAATATGAAAATAAAATATAAATAAACAAGATATTCTAACAATATATTCTCCTATTGCGAGTATGAAGTGAGCATGAACGAGTGTCTTAACTTTACGTAGTTCGTAAGATAAAATAAGTTAGCATAAGACAATAGAAAATATTCTATTCATCCGCCGATGGACGTCGTGGGACGCGTGCGTTTTAACTTTAACTAATCGAATAAAACAACTAATTCCAAGATAGAAAAATTGTACTGAATACCATGTGCGCGCTCTCTTACAGAGATACGCGACTCATTCGTAGCATAATTAATAAAATACCATCTACATTTTCAACATCTTATTAAGGAAGAGTACGAAATTTTTAGAGTTTAAATATTGCATTGGGAATGAGAAAATGATTAGAGTTGCGATTTAAAGTGAAATACAAGACACTCTTTTTGAGACAGGAATTTTTGATAAAAGTATCTATTTCCTTTGCTACGAATGAGAATCGCGTATCTCTGAAGATAAGAAAGCTGCCAGTAGGGCATGTGTTTTTGTCGGGTCCCTTGCGTAGTCACCTCCTCGTGGTGGGACCTGGTAATTGGTATCCTTTTCCAAAGAAAATTCTCACTTTTGCAAAAGGATACCAAGCTAAGAACTACGCGTACCCGTCGACACTCTCATTCTCACACACAGTTGAAAGTTTGAACTTTAAGTAGTTCGTAAGATAAAGTAAGTTAATTCTAAGATAGAAAATTGAACACTATGTGCGCGTTTCTTAATAAAATACCTTGAAAAATTATTCAGATTCTAGGGTAGATATGAAAGTTCCATTTAACATCAAATTTTAACATCGATCTGTCAATAGCAAATTAGCAATCAATTACCTACGAAACACAAAGAAGAATTTCTTCAATTTTCTGACATAAAATTTCACAAGAAGTAGCAGTAAAGGAAGATTAAATAAGAAATGCAATTCTGTGACAAATTTTTCCCAAACAGTGTTTTTAATATGTTACACAATAAAAAGTTACATTACGTGGTAAGATACTGTATCTCATCTTATATATTTTACTTTTCAAACATTTATATCAGACTTTTCTGCGATTTTTCAATTACATTACGCATTATTGCAATAATTTCTATCGTTACATTTAATTCTAATTGTTTAGCAGCTTTTCTGCTGCTATCGACCCTACATTTTACTGACACTTGTCGAATCGACCCTACATTTTACTGACACTTGTCGAATCGACCCTACATTTTACTGACACTTGTCGAATCGACCCTACATTTTACTGACACTTGTCGAATCGACCCTACATTTTACTGACAGTTGTGGAATCGGATAATGTTTACAGGTATTTCATGTAATTTTTTAGCAATTTGTTTTTGTAATTCATCCAAAGCGATATATTATGAAATTAAATTAATCACTCAATAAGTATTAACATTAGATTGTTTCCACGATATGACCATGGTGGTCATCAGTGACTGGAGTGCCTCAAATGTTTAGAATAATTAAAATAAAATAAATATTGTCAACTAAATAGGATTGTATTATATATAGTAATATCCCTCACACTGTCGCCCTGGTCGGAACCGAAAGGCGGTCAGTTTGGGTAGAAGAGACACGGTGTTCGGGGGTTGCAGCCCGCCTTTGTAGTATGCTGAACGAAGGCAAGGATAACGAATAAAAGATAAAGATGAAACAAGGGTCGAGGCAATCGTGCGATTTAAACACCAGTATTTTTATTTTTAACTTTTTCTGTATGAAATCTATATGAATATAAATATTGCCTCGATTCCCGTTTCATCCTTATCTTTTATTCGTTGTCCTTGCTCGGTAAACTACTACAGTCCTTGCTCTGCGACCCTTGGAAACCGTGTCTCCTCTACCCAAACTGACGCCTTTCGGTTCCGACCAGGGCGACAGTATGAGAGAATTACTGTAATTCCGAAACTCACCGTTGTATATCGTAGAGGGCATAACAAATCCTCTGACTTTTTAGAGGATCGGTATTTCAGAACGCGAGACATAAAGTCCCATAAGATGATAAGTCTGTGCATAAACAAACAAACTATATAAAAACAAAAGATGTCGCCGCAATCAGTAAATAAGTAGCGCTTGTATCGATAATTAAGGAATTGAATAAACTATATACATATATATGTATATGTAAGTATATGTATTAAGTTATCTTTACAATCTTGTTGTTAATTTTTAATTTAAGAAAAATTCTTTTCTTCTTTTTAATTTACATACAAAATGATGAAACATAGTTATTAAGATTAATTGGAAGTAATAGGTAGTAGGAATGAGAGTGAACTTTTTTTTATTTTATAAAATCAATTCTCAGTTGGTTTGATTATAATGTTGCACAGTACAGATTATTTTAAAGCATCTGAATGATCCTCAAGGTGATTAGCTCATCCAGCCTCGAAGTTTCATTGCTTCGAGTGTCTACTTTGCGAGTTTCTGAAGCCTATTCGCTTTAAAAAGTCGCAACAACGTAGACAGAAAAGAAATCAAAGCCGATGAGCATGACTATTTGTATAAAATATGTTTCACGATCAAGCAAATAAGTACTTTCCTTATCAATACCACCCATTATTGTACTTACAACATTGCAACGTTAAGGGAATACTTTGCTATTGGTTTACATTAACAAAATACAGAGATATCTTGTATAATTAACGGTGTCGAATTCGGTCACCTTCTTCCATTTTATGGCTTGTTCGGTGCACTTCTTAGTCTTTTGAGCGTAGTATATCTAATGCACAGGAACACTAACATGATCAGCACACTGACAATGGCTATTCCAATTCCCAGCCACAGCTCTCCCCTCACGTTGAACTTGTCCAATGCTATTTCGTATAATGCCAGAGCACCATCAGGTGGTTCGCAGGCAGCTTGAACAATAATATCTTGTCTCTGAATCTGTTTCGGCTTGCAGTTGGTCAATTTATTCATAACTTCTGTCTGATGAAGCGGAGGCAGCAACAGAGACAGAGACCACTGCATAGGGCTAATTTTCTGGTACCAGCCTGGCAGATTCTCCAAATGCAAAGATACTCCTCCAGCCAAGGTCATCTCACCGATTACAATTCCAGCGAATAGAGACGCCAAGTATGTCCACTTGCAAGTATGAGCAAACAATATGCAGATCAGGTGCTGTAGTATTAGATACAGGGAACCGATCGCAAGATAATTCCATAAAGAAGTTAGATTCTCGTCCGGCACCAAATGTAACCCAGACATGGCGTATCCTGGCGCAAGATATATCAAATAGATAATGCACCAAGAGAAAACTCCGCAGAGGAGCTAAAAATGAAGATTGAATCGTTTAGAAAAATTGATATAGTCGTTCGAAGGGATCGAATCGTTCAGGAAAATTAATATACTCGTTTGAAGAGGACCCACCTCTATTAAAATATACACGAATCTTCCATACAAGCCATCCTTGATCTCTCTTTCTACGTTCGGCCTGCAGTCTGCTACTTCACAGATGGCCATTAAGGTTAGCGGCCAGAAGAAAATTCCCAGGCTGGCATAATGAAAGCCCACCCTGTCTCGAAGATGGAGATTCGAGTCTCCGGCAACGTCCCAGAATATTGCACCTAGTAGAATACTCAGTGTGGCAGAAATGACGATTTTCCTGAGCAATCTGGTTAACGTCCATGGCTGACTGTATATCAGAGTTCTCAAGAGCAATGCGTAAATCTGGGTGAATATATTGGGATTGGAAATGGAAGGAGGAAGTGCTCCGGGTGGTCCAGGATCACATAGAGCTGGCAACCTAGTCCTTGCTAGCTCAGCCAAATGGTCTATCCTCTGCGAAGATTCAAGCATAGCTTCTGCCGAGAGGTCATCCAGCGTCACTAAATCAACTAAAAGAAAAAGGTTGCCGTACATAGATTGTATACTAATGAAAAGAAGTACAGTATCAAGATCACGTACGATAGTAGTCGGAAGGATTCTTAAACGGTGGACAGGGGAACTCAGCAAGAGCGAAGTATGGCAACATATCCCTTCTGGGGCCCGAGTACATGATCCTTCCACCAGATGTGAGTGCCACCTTTGATACCATAGTCAGTATTTCATACGTTGGTGGATGCAGGGTCAATACAACCAGTCTCTGGCCTCTGCTAGCCCATTGCCTCAAGTACTCCACCAAGAAGAAAGCATCGAAGATGTCCAACCCATGAGTTGGCCTGTCCAATGCGAGGATATGGGAATCTTGAAGTAAGCGACAAGCCAGAGCCAGCCTTCTTGCCTCAGAAGTGGTCAGCGAGTTCACTAGACAATGCTTCGTCGCTTCTAGACCAAGTTCTTGAAGAATTGCTTCAGCTTCCAGTTTCGAGGTGTTGGAACCTCCCCGTAGGAGCATGTAGAAGCTGAGAGTCTGCTGCGCGGTCAAGCCAGGACTAAGATTGCTCTCCGTGGGCAGATAAGCAACCCTAGATCTTGAGGAAGAATATATTATATATTAACAAGTGGGATGTTCTCGAAATAAGGATTCGGTGATGTATTACGTATGTGTAAATTACCTTAAGGATCTAAAAGATACGGATCTGCCGTTGAGCAAAATGTCTCCCCTTTTAATACGCTTCCGCCCAGCGATGGTCTCCACAATCTGCTTCCCCTCTCTCTCCGTAGTAGCCATGATGGCCAGCACCTCTGTTGCTCCAGCCTCCAAAGTAACCCCTCGTAAAAGGGGCAAACCGTTTGAACCTGAAGCCTCGACTCCTCGCAGCTGTAAATGTGGATGCTGGAGGCAAGGAACTGGTCTCAGGGGAAGTGTGTAATTTTCTGGACCCAAAATTCCATGTCCTGAAGATCGATTTTTTTTTATTTAATTAAACACTGTGCTTGAGAGAATGATGTTCAAAGAAGACCTACCTCTGGGTTCGTGAACCCCATATCCAGGGTCAATGGGAGCAATACTGTGCCTTCTGTTTGTTCTGATACCTCCCTGAAGAAGATTCGCCTCACTGGCGCTCCTCAACCTTGGATTCTCTCTGGAAACTGTTAATTGAGAATGTGCATGTTCCCTGGGGACGGCATGGACATGCCTGAAGTCAGGGTCACTTCTGGCAGACCTCATGGCGGAGGTACCATGAGCCGAGGTGCCAGCATGAGACACCCTGCGACCCTCTTCACTGGAATCATAACCACTGGAACCATCCCTGTTCCTGGAACTTGGCGGAAGCACCCTTGGTAGGCCAAACTTCAAATAGGTGTAGGAGTTGCTGGCCAATGGACTTTTCGGCCCATATCTCGGATGTCTCAGTATGCTTTGCACTGTAGAATCCCTTAATTGAAAGTTTCCATAGGGAAGCGGAGACTTCTCTGCTGAGCCAAGTGCTGAATCAGTGAAGTCAGAGTTCAAATTTTGCCTGGAATAGTTGGAAATTTATTGTACTCGTCTTTTATTGCGGCGAAGAGCGGAGTAAAGGAGTAAAAATGTATACAGACCTGTAGATAGACCAGGCATGTAAGTCTTCACTGGCTGGTGGTTCTAAACCCCTGGTGTCTAGTGCCCCTGGCACTGAGTACCTTCGCTCTAGCTCCCATGCTTCAGAACCCATGCTTTGCGGTGTCTGAAACATTCAAGTTAGACTGAATGAATAATTGTGTTGAGAAATTGACGAGTATTTTGAAATAATTTATCGAACGCATATTGTTTCATATTTATCTACTATAATCTGATAACGAATGACTAAAGTATAAAGTGAAAAAGTGTGCAAGTTGTAATATTTGCGTTTCTCTTATTAATAATAAAGTGTAAAACTTGCTCTCTTTCTCAAGGATACGCCCACTCATTTGTTGCAAGTTAATTAAAAATTCCATCTCCTTTTTTCCTATCACCGAAACGAAACATAGAATTTTTATTCACGACCGCTCGTTATAATTGAGACATCGCGCGACGTACTCGCTAACGCGCGTGTGGTCGATCATTGTGCGATCATTTGCTTCCTTAAACTTAAGGAACATCATATCTTGGGTGTTCTTGCGGGTTTCAGCTGGCTGCCGGCTTCGGTCGTTGCGTATGTTCACTTGAGAACCCGCTAGAAACACGAGTGTTTATCGATGTTTGACGAGTATTTGATGGTTCGCACGAGTGATCGCGAATTTCTCGTTTCGGTCGCGTCGCGAAAGTGTCTGACCGCGATTCGTACATTTTTATTACCCTCTTAAGGAAGAAAGGAATTTTAGGTGTCTCCTAACATTGCAATGGAAAATCGAAAAACGATTAATACAAGCCACTCGTATTTCATTTCGGTTAATTTTTGAAGAAAACGAATTTTTTAACAGAATGATCACTTTTCTCGATACTTCGAGTCCGTTGCGTAGTTACGTCCCGGTGGTGGACCTGATAATGCAGCGACAGTCCTTTTTTCTCACAAATTAAGACCAAAAATGTTAGCAAGAAAACATTGCCAGTTTGAAAAGAAGAAGTATCGAGCTGAGAACTACGCATATTCACGGTCTACTGTGTACGATTCTCTTGAATCTAGGGTGGATCGCGGGTACTTAATTTCCATTCTTCCATTGAGAGACGTTATTACATGCGTGGGCTTAGCGATAAGCAGTTCATTAGGTAAAATAAGGGATAATAAGATTACCTAAAGCCTACCTTAAGATTACCTTAAAGATTACCTTAAAGATATCTTTTAAGAGCATCGGTTTAACAGTTTTTTTAAGTAATTAAATGCCTAAGCGAGAAATCGAGATTCTAGAATTTCCACTTTTACTGACCACGTACGATGCATCTAGCGCTTCGCTTCTTTGCTCTCAATAGCCATTGACGAGTCGTAAACCTCACTTACAGTCAACTGATACCACTATGATTACCAATGACGTGAATGCGCTCAAGTTTTACCCTGCGACCTCTCGTGATATCGCACCAGACAATAATTAAGAGAGAGATTTTTGAAATTCTAAGATCCAATCCAAAGTGTTTTTCTTACTTTTCATTTGGTAACATAGCGAGTGCTAACACCCACGACGCTAAAAGCATCAGAATGTAAATTAGATGTAAATTGGACATATTCGAACGATAAATGTACCGAGAATGAGTTTCGTTGGCAATTTGCAGCGAATTAAACTTACCGTGATCTTTTAACACTTAAAAAATTGAAACTTGAAGGTATCGACCAGTATTTTTGCAAACAAATGTATGAAATAGAACAGCTTGAAAATGAAAATTGTTCCGTAATTTATGTTAAAAATAATAAACATCTTTGGAACCTATTTAGAAGGAGCACTCGTTACTTTAAAGTAATTCCATGAGTAGGTTAGTATCTCTTAGTCAACCAGAAATATCTAATATCTTGCAAACTGTTCAATATAGGAGGCTGAAATTTTCCACGAGATAGTTTCTCATACGGACCAATGAATTTGCTGTGTTCGACGAAAGTCGGTGATATAGTGGCAGAAAATGTGCGATTTGACGTGGAATGGCTCATCATAACCTCTGCTTTCTCACAGTCAACAGTCAGTTCCACGTTCGATGGTCAGTTCGGTTCCTTTTCCGTAGAAATACCCGCGAATGGCACGGTCGTTGAACATCGTGCTTATCGACCATTATTCGGTAATGGATCTCTTCTTTACCTAAGGTGAAACCGTACTCTACGCGTTTCCAGCAATCGGCTGGAGATTTTTACTCGTCATGAAGCATAACGGTACGGCAGAAGTTAACTGAGATTCTGCGTTATTTACCGCGCTAAGCATCGCTCTTGATAGTCCATCGTCGAGCCAAATGTTTTATTTCTATCTTCATTAAACTGATTTACCAGAGTTAAAATTTTCTTTAATATATGGTCCCTTCGGTGCTCCTCTTCAGGTTGTGAAATATTTGTTCGTTGCTCTGTTTCCCAAATATACAGTATATCTGAATTTTTCGCACTTCCACGTAACTAATAACACAACCAATTTACTTTCCTTCCATCATTCCAGATTTCTCTGTTTAATATAATGATCCAGTAAGTCGCGATCATCGACCGTAATATTTCTCTCCCCCTCCCCCCTGACTTACGTAACGCATTAGGGGCTTTTTTTTAGAGGCAGATAACTATCTCGTATTCGAGTTAACTGTTCATTTGCATATCCCGTTTCTGCAACAGTTGTATATCGACTGGCCATACACATATTTTTCTCCTCCATTCCTACCTTTTCCTCTGGCCAACACGCACGCACGCACGTACACACAATACGGCATATCTTACGTTCAGTGAAGCATAATCCACGTGGAAGGTGATATTTAATTAACACGTTGGACGGTTCGGTGATTTTCGTCGTCAACCGCCGTTGAACGACATGCAAATTCACTTTTCAACTCACTGGGCGCCTGGCTTTCGTGATGAAAAGCGATAGTTGTGTGCCAGCGGAGCGGCCATATTAGACTCATGTAACCTGATTAGATGATAACATTCTCTGTTGCTGCTATTTCAAGAGAGTGCATCGCCAGTTGTCACAGCCTCTGTTCCCACGAATTTAGACTGTTACGGGAGACTGAGCTAATAACTGGCGTTCGCCATGGTGAAACTCGAGGATAGGATTAGCTACTTCCTTGATATTCAATCATCTGGCGAAGAAAGAAATTGTACTTCCTTCATATTTGATATCTGGCGAAGATAGTTTCTTCTCTCTTCAACATTTCAGGTGTCGATCGTTAGAAAAACATCACTATTTTGCAAATGTAACTTCTTTCATGAGGTTTGTTTTCTTTTTTTTCTTTTTTTCTTTAAGTAATGGAATTTATGAAATTCATCGTGGAAATGTTGTATTGAAATATTCAATGGCATGTGAGTCTAGTCTCTCCTCTTTGTCCGGATTCAGAGTGTTCTCCAACTGGATACATATGTACTCTGTTTGGGGAAACGATACTGCGGTTTCGAAATCTCTTCCGCCGGCTGTGAGACTGTCCCACGCACTGATTTCTACGATCTCCGTACACACGTGTCTTAATAAAACGTGCCCTGGATACCACGTGCAGGAAACGGTGGAAAGTCCGCCGAAATGTCGGCAGAATTGATATTTACATCGACCAAACGTTGAACGAACCTTGACACTAATGCCGGCAAATGTGATTACAGTACCAGCATATTTTTTTTACACCCGTATCAATTTCTACTGGCTAGAAACTGTGAAATATCGACAAGAGAGGGTAGCCTTTACAATTTTTGTTGTAGGAAAAAATAAATTGACCAGTGTAAATTTTTAGGTATAAAAATACATGCACTTTAGAATTTTTTTTCCACGAGCCGTTGAAAATGATTCGAGAGTTGAGACGTTTTTATTTTAGATTTCAATCGCGACCTTCTTTAGTATTCTCTGTTTACTGACAAAGCAATCGATTATTTGTATTCGTTCCGCCATTGAGCCACGCGATAGACCGAGCAACGCTTTATGGAGGCGTATACCGAGGTCAGTGCTGCCGCTTTTCTCAATATTCTAAAGGGGTACGCGTGTCTGCGGCAAGAAAGAGTCGATTAACATTGCAAATCGGGCGCAGAGTGGCGTCCATGACACGTGGAAAGGTGTAGAGATACATGTCTTGTGCGCTCATTGAAATCTCTGAACGCAGACGTCGTGTGAGCGTTTACGTCGATGTCATAAAGTCAGTCAAGCTAAAAATCAGTTTACACTTGGAATTATTCTCCCTAACAGAGAACAGTTGTGAAAAATCATCCAGAAAGGTAAATGGATTAATTAACATTCAATTTGGAAGTTAATTTCAAACAGTTATGAGATCTATCGAGTTTCAAACGACTATGCGATCATCGAGCTCTAGTGAAAGCATCGACAGTGAAAATGAATAGCGTGACAGGAAAATGCGCCCCGACACGGAATATTAAATACCGTTCCTCGTTTCGTTAAACGAGAGCCGCCTCCCGGCATCTCGTAAAAATTCGACAAGGATAAGAATTGCCGGAGGAAAACGGTTCCTAATCACCTGTTGCTTTCACCGGTACCAGTGGAACCTTTCTCATTATGCAAAATCAAGTTCCCCAGTCGTTGAACCATGTCTACCGCCTGTTTCCTCGTAATTTTCCCCCTTTTCTCTTGGTTGCCTTGCAAAAATTCGATCACGTAAGCTTTTCCACTCGGACGGCGGCAGCTTTGTGGAACTCTGAGCGATTCTCGCCAAGCCAATGTTGCAACTGCCCATGAATCACAATTTTCAGCCACTTGTACAAAGAGTTGTTGGAGAGAAAAAAAAATGCTAGTTTCCATGGTTTGTCGTAGAAAAATGTGGGATTAAAGTGAATCCCGGGAATGCCACGACACTCGATGCACGGGCAGCATAATCTTCGTGACAATGACTCACCTCCGGTATTCAGGATGAGCTTTCAAGCGAGCCTGGCGGAGTCAAGGTGATGCTGCTCCTCCATTCCTCTGATCCCTCTTGCTCTTCCTCCCTGGGTCCACGCGATTTTCCTCTATTCCTGGACACTCTAAATGGAAACTGTCGGGCTAAACGCCGACGGTTGTCAGCTCAGAAATTGCACGACGCGACCCGTGAATACATCACTCGATCCGTGATCGCGATACCGCAATAGCATCGGTATGTCCAACGCCGAGGAACCTTTTCTAAACGCTGCCTTCTGACAGACGTGCCTTCCTCGCTCCAGCCTTCTGCGCTCCCCCTTCCCCACGCTCCCTTCCTTCCTCGTTGCTCTTTCAAGTTCGTAGTGCTGTGACTGCCAAGATCTTAGACCCAACTCCTCGCTTCTCTCTGTTTGACGCTGCTACAAGGTCATTTCTCTCTAAAATATATCTTTACGATTCTGAATATTTCTGAATTCTTCTGCCCTTTCGGGCAATTTTTCATTGAAAGTTTCTTCACGTTTCTTCTGGGTAATTTGAATTCGAGAAGTCTCAGGGGGCACAGACTCCTGGCTACGCCGTTGTGCTACCACTGATGTTACCTTCCTCCCACCAATCTCCTCTCAGAGGAGACATTCACCTCGCGAAGCCAACTCCCAGCCAGGTATCCTTACCGATGGCTACGTTCTGCACGCTATGTTCACTTCTCTGGCCACGCTGCTAGACCGTGCGTCATTCTTAAGCAGTCTCGATAATCGCAGTGTTCTGGTGTATCATACCATCGGAGGTTTCTACGTTCATCCTGAACGGTCAAAAAGTGAGTTGACATTCTCGAAAAGTGAAACGTTATGAGGTGATCGTCAAGATGATCCCGTCAGATTGCACTCTAGACATATCTAACGTCTTCCATTCCACTGCTGTGGTGATCGAGGGCAGTTGTATGAGCAAAACAGAGCCGACTGCAGTATTGAGGGATGTATCTGCTCGAGTCCACGGTGGAGAGGTTTTAGCGATTCTAGGCTCCAAGGGATCTGGAAAGAGGGCCTTGCTCGATGTCATTGGTAATGTATTCCTCTTAGCGCAAATTTCATTCAAACAAGCGTCAGAAATCACTCGATAATTACTCGTATTTTAGCTGGAAGGGCGGAGGGTGAAACCAGAGGTAGAGTCACCCTGAACAACAATCTCCTGACCCCAGAATTGTTCAGAAGACACGGTGGATACGTCGCCCACAGGTGTCACTTGCTGCCAAGCTTAACAGTTCGTCAGACTCTGACGTACGCTACGTGGTTGGCCAATTTGAACAATAGGGAGGCCAGGGTTCGTCAAACCCTGGCCGATTTAGCGTTGTCCCAGGTCGCAAATAGATCGGTGAATGATTTAACAAAGCCAGAGTACAGAAGGTTAATGCTAGGCGTGCAGCTAGCCAAAGATCCTACATTGCTGCTCTTGGATGAGCCAACATGGGACACTGACCCTTTGAATACTTATCTAATCGTCTCTATGCTCTGGTCTTACGCGACCAGGAGGGGATCCATCGTCGTTCTAACGATGGAGACCCCTAGATCGGATGTACTACCTTTCGTCAGTCGTGTGACTCTTCTGTGTCTGGGTGCGGTGGTCTATTCAGGGCCAACAAGGAGTATGTTGGATTATTTCACCTATATTGGCTTCCCCTGTCCTGAACTAGAGAATCCTTTGATGTATTATTGTAAGTATTTGCTCTGAAGAGTAGAATGATCGAGTAACAGTTTCATCAATTAACGCTAATTACTTCAGTGTGCCTGTCTACTGTCGATCGTCGATCCAGAGATCGTTTCTTGGAGTCGAACCAGCAGATATCGGTGTTGGTGGAGAAATTCAAGGCTGAGGGTGTGATATACATGAAAGAAGCTCCCCAAGTGCCACCCAACGTCAAAGACACACCTCTAGGCATTATGCACAAGGGTTTAGGGCGTGGCATCAAACCAGGATGTTTCTCTACTCTCCTTGCTCTCTACCTGTACGTGTTGCACTTATTTCTCAAAGTGAAGTCAGTATGGGTACAGCGTTGACGTTTTAGGAGAGGCATGGCAGCGACGTTTGCCTTCAATAAGTCCGGTTTAGGCCATTTCGCAACTCGACTACTGTTGCTACCGTTCTCCGTCGCCCTGATGAGCATTCTGTACTCACATTCTACACCTGTGCAGTCCAGGATATTCCTACAAACAGGTGGTTTGGTCTTCAACGTGCTCACCCTATTCTACGTTGCTGGAATAGCGTGCACAGCTCTTCTCTGTAAGTTTCTGTTTTTGCTCAAGTGTGACAAACGTATCAATGCTTGTTAATTGCACAGTTCCAGGATATAGAGCCAGATATTACCAGGAGAAAAGGGAGGGTTTATACGGTGGTGCGATGTTTCTGACTGCTTACGCGTTACTCAGTCTACCGTTAAGTTTCCTGTCTACCATGCTCACCATTGGCATTCTGACTCCCATTCTGGAGCTAGATTTGTCAACCTGGGCCTACTCGTGCGGTGTACTATGGGCCAGCTACGTGGCAGCCGAACAAGTGACCGTTGCCGTACTCATGGTGGTCGGTAGACCCGTAACTGGTGCAATAACAGTCCTTTACATGACTCTGGTGTCTCTGGTGGTTGCATCTGGAGCAATCAGAAGTCTGAAAGGCTTGCCTTATTGGCTTGCAGCAGTCTCCACCGCATTCCCCGCAAGATACGCCTCGTTGGCTCTGAATCAACTGGCTATCGATGTACCCACATTCCTCAATTTGCATTACAATGAGAGTTTCACGTGTCCCGGAGTGCCTGAACTGTGTAGGTACCCAGATGGGAGATCCTATTTGATAGAACGGTTTACACGTGAGGGTGAAAATATTTCGGAGGTGTTGAACGTTGACTTGAACTTGTTAATTTCACTCGCGTTCGCTGTTGGACTGAGCATTCTGAACAGCGTTCTGTATTTGTTGCCACTTCCAGCAAAAGTTAAAGCTAAGTTTAGGGAGTAGTTTTGGAATTATAGAGATGCACGTGATATTTGTCCCCTTCGAAATTTATTATTTTATTAATCTTAGCATGTATATTACAAAATTATACATTATCTTCGTTAAAACCTAGCTACCGTATGACGTGAAATAGGACACTTATGTTAGATTTACAAGTACGCTTTACAATTCTTAGAATAAACGATGTGGCCTTTTCTTTATTTCACAATTTTTAGAATGTAACGTTTTTAAGTATCACTTTCGTTTTACATGTCTTTAAATGAAGCCAGAAATAGACTAGGAACATATTTCTATTGACAGTCCTGTAAGTCCACTTGACCCATCTCCTTCAGATCATCGGCTACCGAGAATTCACAACCTGTAGAGCTAACAACTTCACTGATATCAACGTTAGGCGCGATTTCAATCAGTTTCAAGCCTTCTCCCTTGATCACCTCGAACACCGCCATGTCTGTGATTATCAAGTCTACGCATTGTTGACCTGAGCTCGAAAAAATATAAGTAAACATATGTTTTTATAAGAAATACCTTGAAGGATATATTAAATACTACCTGTGACTGGTAACGAGCAGTTTTTCAAGATCTTTGGACCTCCATCTCTTGCTTTATGCTCCATGGTCACCACCACTTTGGTGCTTGCTGCAGAAACTAAATCCATTGCTCCTCCCATTCCCTTTACCATTGTCCCTGGGATCATCCAGTTGGCCAAATCTCCAGTTTCAGACACTTGCATGCCCCCAAGCATTGTTAGATTAACGTGACCTCTGAAAAAATTTAAATTAATAGCTCTCTTCTACCTAAAATTTGTTTAATATTCATGATTTCAACAAGTACCCTCTAATCATAGCAAAGCTATCATCACTACTGAAGAAAGAGGCTCCTGGAAGGACTGTGACTGTTTCTTTCCCAGCATTTACCAAGTCTGGATCGACCTCAGACTCTTCTGGGAATGGACCAAGGCCCAGAATGCCATTCTCAGATTGCAACGTCACTTTCACGTTTTTAGGAATGTAGTTGCAAGCTAACATAGGTATACCAATGCCTAAATTGGCTGTGAAAAAATTTATTCATCAAAACGTATTCGTTTTAATTAATTTCGTTCCTCATTTTTTAAATTTCTCACCATACATTCCATTTTTAAACTCGAGCGCAGCACGTCTGATGATCCTGTCCCTCGCTTTGCTCGCTGGTGTTACTTTCTTGGGCTTCACGTTTTGTTTGGTGTATCGTTTCTAATTGAAACAAGCAAAAAGTGGTTTTACAAAAATTTTTCTTACTTCAATATCGATAATTTTAGAGCAACGTGTACAAACCTCCACACGTTTTTCATAGGAAGGACCTTTGACAATCCTGTCTACAAAAATTCCAGGTAAATGAATATGATCAGGATCCAGTTGACCATTTTCCACAATCTCTTCCACTTCAGCAATCGCTATTTTAGCTGCTTTACACATAACTGGGTTAAAATTCCTGGCTGACTTTCTGAAGACTAGGTTCCCAGCTTTGTCTGCTTTCCACGCCTTCACGAGAGCAAAATCTCCGGTGATAGCTGGCTCCAAGACAAAATTTCTGCCTTCAAACTGTGCCACATTCCTTGGCTCCCCGGATATCTCGGCGTTTCCATTTTCGTCGTACTTTACAATCACATTACCCTCTTGAATTATTGTTCCATAACCAGTAGGGGTGTAGAAGGCCGGTATGCCAGCTCCTCCCGCACGAATACGTTCCGCTAATGTACCCTACATGTTAAAAGCATAATTATACAATTTTCGACATTCTTTAACATACTTTAAAAAATATTTTCTTTCTCTTTGGTACTTACTTGTGGAGTCAATTCAACCTCTAATTTACCACTGAGGTACTGTTTCTCAAATTCAGGGTTTTCACCAACATAGGAGGCAATCATTCTCTTAATCCTATGTTCCTTTAACAGTATACCTAATCCAAAGTCCTCCACCCCTGCATTATTCGAAACAACGGTTAAATCTTTGGACCCTCTTTT